TGTTCCTCACTGTCTCCCCTCAATTATCTATTTCAAAATGGTATTTATTATAAAATGAGCATCAGTTTATGCTTTAAACTGATCTACTCATGCGAATCTTTAATTATAGGAGTTCTCTTCCCGGTTTAACTCCATACGTTTTCTGAATTCCCTGTTGAGGGTTTTGATGTGTGAAGCTTTATTTTATTTGGTAAATGTTTCATGTTGTCAGGTGGTATTCGATGTGTCAAGAATGTTACCATTCATAATGCTCCCATATTGTCTATCAATGCTGGAGAACACTGGTTGGGGATCGGAGCAGCTGATAACTCAATGTCTCTCTTCCATCGGAATCAAGACAGACTTGGTGGACTTTCCAATTCAGGTCCAAAGATGGCCGGGTGGCAACTCTACAGGACTCCACAACGAGCAGTTGCTATGGTGAGCTTTTCCTTCCTCACGTAACTATTCTTATGTGATCTGAAGTCATTAAGTCAATATTTTGATAACATAATCATGGTTTTTTGGGTGTAAATTTTCTCTCCCTTCCCAAATCTTCTCTTGTGTCTTATTTCACCTTGGAGATTTTTTCATAACCTTAAACAAAGCTCAACGTCCTGCTGTTTTTACCGCTGGACTTGAGCGACTTGTTAGTCATTATGTTTATGCGCGTGCAGCTAATAGATAAACATTATATTCTGACTTGCTAGCCTTCAATTTGAAATTCTATTGAGTTTGTTTGAAGATTAGATGTGCAGTTAATCGATAATGTTATATTCTGACTTGCTATCCTTCTTGTTTATGCATGTGAAGTGGTTATCTTTATTTTTTTAATTATTTTATGAGGGTAACATGTCGGAACAATAAAATCTCAGCAGCCTTTTGTAATAATATATTACTAGTACAACACCCGTTTATTACATGGGTGCTTATTAATTTTTTTTTTAAATTTTAAAATCAATGAGAAAAAGTAGTTTAAAATTTAAATACTTTTTGTAAAAAAAATATATATTATTATATATTTTAGAATGACACTTGTTACTTGTGCGACTTACCTATGTTATATTATAATAATTTTTCTAACTCATAACATATAACTACGTCAACATAAATATATTAATTGAGAAATAATTTTATTTTTCTAACTAATATTAATATATAATTTATTTATTTTATACATATCAAATTGAAGCTCATCAAAAGATGATTATTATATATGTAAAACCGATAAAAAATACAAAAGTTATCAACTTTTAAAATATATTTATAATTCAAATGGTTATAATAAGAAATGAGATTAAAATACAATTAATACATCTAAATGATCATAAATAATCAACATATTTATGGTAATCCAGACCTAATTATTTTTAGATTGAAATTAAATTAAATTCTATCCAAGCCTAATAATGAAGCATGAATTCTGACACTTAGGATCCCGAAACTTGCTAGCCAGCCACTTAGGCTCAGCATGTTCGAGAATTATATAGGGCAAAACCTCATGGAAACATTTGTAACCAACGTAACTTAAGTATGTAACAACTTTTGTGCTTTTTTCCTCCACAAATGAACTAATTGTTAAGTGATGACATGTTTTTTTTTTCCCTCTTTTTTAAAAAGGAGGATCGATAGTGTTCCCACTTCCCCTCTTCGGTGACTCGAAGTGAAGCGTCTTACCATTCAAGCTGCGGTTCGTTGTCTTAAGTGATGACATGTTACCTAGAGTTTAATTATATGTACTCACATTAATAGAACTGTAACTTGTGAAAAGGCTATATAGCTTACTAAATACTTTTTAACTACTGGTAAACGACAATATTTGATGACAACAGTAGAAATAACCGACCGAAATCTTTATGGTACATTAGGGGAATTGAGCTTAATCAGACGGAGAGATTACCACAACAACAACAACAACATAGCATTTTAGTCTCAAGCAAGTTGGGGTAGGCTAGAGATGAAACCCAAGAGAATCAATGGTAAGAGAAACACAAAAAGGGCTAAAAAACAAAAGGAAGAGATTGGAGCAAAAGAGAAAGGAGCAAAAGTCACTGTTCTGGCACGTTGATTGCTAGCCTCCAAGCGCTCCTATCCACCGCTTAATCCTTGGAGATATTCCAATCTTTAAGGTCTCTCTTAACCGACTCTTCCCAAGTGAGTTTAGGCCGACCTCTACCTCTCTTTACATCATCGACCCGCTGTAGAACACCCCTACGCACCGGTGCATCAGGAGGCCTCCGTTGGACATGTCCGAACCACCTCAGCCGATGTTGAACCAATTACTCCTCAATTGGAGCCACCCCGACCCTATCTCGAATATCCTCATTCCGGATTCTATCCCTTCTTGTGTGTCCGCAGAACCAACGCAACATACGCATCTCTGCTACACTTAGTTGTTGGACATGTTGCCTTTTTGTAGGCCAACATTCAGCACCGTATAGCATCGCCGGGTGAATCGCCGTCCTATAGAACTTACCTTTTAGCCTTTGTGGCACCCTCTTATCACAGAGAACGCCTGAAGCTTGACGCCATTTCAACCAACCGGCTGCAATTCTATGCCTAACATCAACATCAATGCCGCCATCCTTTTGTAGCATCGATCCTAAATACCGGAAAGTCTCCTTCTTGGCCACTACTTGCCCGTCAAGGCTGACGTCACCATCATCATGTGTAGCCATGCTGAAAGCGCACGTCATGTACTCGGTCTTCGTCTTACTAAGTTTGAAGCCTTTCGACTGTAATGTGTCCTTCCACAGCTCTAACTTTCCATTTACCCCAGCCCTACTCTCGACAACTAGCACCACATCATCAGCAAAGAGCATACACCAAGGGATATCACCTTGTATGTCCCTTGTGGCCTCATCCATCACCAAGGCAAATAAATAAGGGCCCAATGTTGACCTCTGGTGTAGTCCTATTTTAATTGGGAAGTCGTTGATATCGCCCCCACATGTTCGGACACACGTCATCGCATCCATATCCTTGATGAGGGTAATGTACTTAGATGAGACTTTGTGCTTTTCTAAGGCCCACCACATGACATTCCTCGGTACTCTGTCATAAGCCTTCTCAATGTCGATAAAGACCATGTACAAGTCCTTCTTTTGGTCCCTATATCTCTTTGTCAACTGTCGTATTAGGAAAAAATCGCCTCCATGGTTGACCTTCCAGGCATAAACCCAAATTTGTTTTGGGTCACACTCGTCATCCGTCGTAGGCGATGCTCGATAACCCTCTCCCAGAGCTTCATCGTATGGCTCGTCAACTTAATCCCACAGTAGTTACCACAGCTTTGAACATCTCCCTTGTTCTTGAAGATCGATACTAAAGTACTTCTCCTTCATTCATTAGGCATTTTGTTTGACCGGAACATGAGGTTAAAAAGCTTGGTTAGTCATACTAACGGAGAGATTACCACATGAGTTTAAAATCCTCCCTTTTTTTTCTTTCTTTTTTTCCTTTTTATATGGCCTTGTAAATTGGCTATGACTCACGTATTCAAAGGAATTCAAACCCCCCGACCTCTGCCTACCCCAGTACCACTTGGCTGATCCTTAATGGTGACCTATAATCCTATTGTATGATTTTGAAATATTGGAGTTGTGATGTATCTAGGTAGGAAGATCATAACTGTTATATGTTCTGTAATAATATGCTATTCCTGAAACATTAAGAAAAAAGTTTTAGGTTATATTGACATCTAACCAGCTTATCCCACTGTCATTTAGCAAACTCAAAAAGTTTACTGTCAGTTTGGCATTAACAGTTGTAAAAAGTGGATTTTTCTGCTTTTTATGTGACCTAATGTAACTGTTAGTATTTGGAATAGCAGTTAAATTAATTGTTACTTTTCGGATGTTAATGGATTCACAGGTGAGATGTGTGGCTTCTGACCTGGAAAGAAAGAGGATTTGTTCGGGTGGAAGAAATGGGATGCTAAGGCTGTGGGATGCAACTATTAACATTTAAATCATTTGTCTGTAAATTATGTTGCACTGTGTCCTTTCGACTACAATTTGATGGATACAGATTGGGTGGCACAAGAGTCAGGTGGAGATTATGCCAATTGAGACTGCACCATAGAAGCCAGTATGTGAGATTTTTGGCATGAGATGATAATCCTGATACATATTTTTTCTTTTGTTTTTTTTTCCTCTCTACTTCAAGCCGTCGTGTTGTAAATTAAGATGTGTAAAAGTATGCCTTTACGACTCGAGTAATTGGGATTGTGGTGTTGATAGAAACCAAATGCAATCATATAAAACTTGATAATTTGTTTTTTAATTGTATGATTGTTTTGTTCATTTTTATTTGGGATTGTGGTGTTCATACGTGTCATCCGATCTCTTAATATTGACCCGGTGCAATTCAGCGCATCTTATTACAACACGAAAAATTTTTGGAGACATATTCTAAACTAATTGAAGGGTCGCAAACTTTCAATTCTGTGAGCAACAAGCATCCTACAACAGTTCCCATGATTGGTAGAGTTAAACCAGGTCATAAGAGAAACAACGTTTCACGTCTGCATTGGAGGTTCCGAAGAAAAACAAGTGCGGAAAATGTCACGGTACAGGCCATAATGTGTAAACGTGCAAAATCCAGAGATATCGAGGAATGAATCATGAAGTCTTGAGTTTTGTTTATCTTTTTATCAATTTATTAGATTATTTCAGTATTTTTCTATGTTAGTTAACAACTATTCAAATTATGTTTTCTCTTGCTTTTGGTTCCTTTATAAAAAATTATGTTTTATCTTGCTTTTGGTTCCTTTATAATATGTCTATCTGATGTGTTGGGGTGCAGATATTTTGGTTTTCAACAATTATACATTGTCTGTGTCTATCTGGTAAATTGATTGCTTTTCTAATTAATAAGACAGACAAGAACAAAAGTCATATTTTAACATTTTTTTTATTCGAGTGGGTTGACCCGTACAATAGCTACTCATTAAAGCAATATTGAAATCAAGCAAACAACAAACCAGAACTCTAATCATTGATATTAACAAATAAACAAGTCTACTTTGGAACAGGCCAACTGCCAGTAGCAAATCAAAGCAAATCAGAACACACAAAATAAGCAGCCTCAGAACTAGATGAACAAAAAGCTCCTTTCTTTTATGATATTTCAATCAACACTACCTCATCGTAACAATGTCGTCAATCTCCAAATCATGCCAACACACTCCGTAGCCAGAGTAATCGCGCTCGTGCTCACCAGCAAAGGCTGCACCACATTCTCCTCCAATATATTCGTGACCTGCCCCTTCCTCACATTAATCTCTGAGTAACTCTGCAAATGCCCTCACACAATACCCTTCCATTCCCTGCACCACCTTTCCCCACGCGCCCAGCTGCCTTGACAGCTCAATCTCAGGGGCCCCACCATCTGCAATCATAAACCTTTTGTTCACCAAACACCTCACAACACACAAAGCATCGAGCAAGCTCCTCTCGGCCTCATCGAGCACCAAATGGTTCGAACCGCGGACAAGAATGCTCATTGTCCTCCCCATCTCCTTTATCCCTGTAATCTTCACGACCTTCCCGCCACCTCCAAGTGGAACCTCTTCCACCAAATCTGCATATCCCAACTTCTCTACACGAAAATGCTCGATGTTCGATATGGGCAGACAATTCAAGGTCTTTGTGATGAACTCAATCTCGTCCCTCTCTATGTCTCGAATGACCAAAATCTTGGCCTTTGCCAAATAGTGCAGCGACAAGTCTGTGACGGCATCTCTCGAGATGCTCTTCTGTATCAGCAACACGTTGCAGCCCGTGGCTTTGATCTTCTTGATCATCCCCAGAATATAGTTTCTCTCCTCCTTCAAAATCCTGTCCATCTGGGAGTAGTCAGAAACCACGATGCTTATATCGGTTTTAGGGGGTGAGAGTTGGAACTGTAAAACAGCTATCTTAGCGTTTTCAACCCTGGTGGGACCACCCGCAGCATGGCTCGCCTTCTTATCGAAAACGAGCCCCTTTACCAGTTCAGTGTCATCCACAGTCCCGCCCAATTTTTTCACAACTGTAATATCTTTCAAGTCCACTAAATCGGGCTTCTGAGGGTCCACCAGAGAAAGCACGGCATCAACGGCCAGAGGTGCCAGAAGAGAGGAGTACTGAGAGATTACCTTCGAGTTGAGCGACGTGGAGGCGGATTTGACGAGCGACTCGCGATCAGAGAGCTCGACGGGGAGCGCCATAGCTGATAATATTTCGACGGCTTTGATCGAGATCTTGTGGAGGGAGTCGGAGACAATTGTAGGGTGAGTGCCGGATGTCAGGAGGCCAAGTGAGGCCTTGAGCAGTGATCCGGCGATGACGAAAAAAAAGTAGTGGTGCCGTCTCCAGCGACGACGTCTTGAGATTTGGAGATATCGACCAAGAACTTGGCGGCGGGCTGAAGGACCTCCATTTTATTGAGGATGGTGACCTCGCCGGAGGAGGTTGAAATCATCTTGTCCATGCCCGGGCCCGAGAATTGTTCTCACGGCGTCCGCCATGGCGCCGAAGCTATGCTGGCCCGACGGATGTCGTCCATCCGCTTATTGTCGACGAAGGTCTCTGTCGACCTCGCCGGAGTCGCCATTGATTGGAATCCAGGGACCGATGGAGATCTGCAAAGTAAAAGGTGTGTGGGAGAGGGGATGAAAGTAGGGCTTTCTAGCGACAATACGATTGTAAAGTATGAGAAGAGAGAATATTATATTATCTTACTTAGGTCGTCCTTAAAAGAGGTGGGACGACTTTTAGGGGGTGTATTCAATTAAGACTTTTAATGACTTTTTAAGACTTCTAAAGTTTTGAGGTATTCAATTGAAACTTTTTTAGACTCTCTAAAAGTTTACATGTATTCAATTAAAACTTTTCAAGAATCTCAATAAGTTACCTGTTATTCAAGTTGGTAAGATTTTATGAGACTTTAAAAAGGAAAAGGATTTTTGGAGACTTTTTACCAAAATATAAAGAAACCGATGCTTGTGAAAATCTCACCAAAATTGTGGGATTTTGTTGAACGTGAAAAGTCTCTTCTTTCTCTCGTCTACTACAAGGTACTCTCATACTTTTTCTCTAGGGTTTATAGAATCTTCACACCAGTATGAATTTTTTTATTAGTACATGCAATATTCTCGTCTACTACGAATGATTGTATATTGTAATTTGCAAATGATTTTGATTTGCAATATTGTAATTTGTGATTTGTATATTCTCGTCTACATGCAATATTCTAGTCTACACCAGTATGATTTTGATTGTATAATATTCTCGGAATTTTGTTGAAAATTTGGAGCTGAATTGCCGATGAGAGGCTAGACACGCTTTATCAATAATTATTTTCCAAGTTAATAAAATTATAAGAAATTTAGCCGCCTCTCAACTATTTTCCCCATTTGCAGTACCATGGAATTTTGTTGAAAAATTGGAGCTGAATTGCCGAATGGTACACGCTTTAGCAAATAATAAAACTCACCCAATTGGTTTTGCTTCTTTTTTTTGTCCTTTGCGCATTTTTTCCTTTGTGCATAGCTTTTTTGTTTATGAATTCTGTGGTTTGGTTCATATGTTAATGGTGAGACTGCCTTTACACGTGTTTTGAATTAATTGAATTTGATATCTATGGTTTTCTTGCAATGTTAATGTCGAATAATAGTTTAGGAACACAATTGAAGATGGTATAGCTTGTGTAGATACTTGTGAATTTGTATTCTCTGTGTTTGTGAATAGGCTGAAAGCTAAACAATAATCAAAAGATAATACACCTTATACAATGTTTTTATTTACCTGTATCTTTTGTTATTACATGTTTTAAGACCTTGTTATTATATTTTTTAAGACCATGACAATATATGTCAGCATGCGTAGGACCTTAATTACATTATTTTTCTCCTTGTTTGATATCTTTGGGTTTGAGTTTATGGTGAACTTAATCATAAAAATGCTTTCTTTGCTTTATGCACTTAATAAGGAGATGTAGTTTATTTACAGAGATTGAGTCCTGAATTATTTACTGATGAGATTGCGTTTGTAGTTTACCAAATCTTTCTCTTTCGAGGATTTAGAGTTGTCAGATCAATATATATTTTAGTTGTCTGATTGGAATATTTTTAGCTTGGGGTTATCATCATGTATATAGATGGCATGCGCATTTGAAAATTATTAGTCACTCGACATGATCGAAGTATTATCTAGTTCAAGTGTTTGTAAATTTAGGTATTTGTAGCAATGGTAGATTCATCACAAGGAAATGAAAAAGTTCAGAGATACGAAATATGGACATCTGAAGAGAGTAATGAATTGCTTAGACTCATGGTTGATGCAGCCAATCGCGGATGGCGTGATAAGTCTGGAAATTTGAGTAAAGTAACCGTAGAGAAACATATATTGCCCCCTCTTAATGCAAAGCTTGGAACTGAGAAGACGTATGCTCAATATAAAAGTCGTGTAAAATGGTTTAAGAAGCAATACGATAAATATGCCAAGCTTATGCGACATAACTCGGGCTTTGGCTGGGATGACGTGTCCAAGAAATTTACTGCTGATGAGCATGTGTGGGAGGACTACTTTAGGGTAAGCATATTTTATTGATAGTACTTGATATGATTAAAATATTTCATACCATAGTGCTTAAATGACTTTTTTTTTTTTTTTTTTTGACCTTTTTTTTAAAATCTTTTACTAGTCTCATCCCGGGGATAAGAGTTACAAGACAGACACTTTTTCTGATTATGAAGATCTGAGAATTGCTGTTGGATGTGGAACTGCTACTGGCAAAAGCTCAATTGCAATAGGCGATGATGTTGAAGAAACAAATTTTGAGACAGAAGAAAGAATGGAAAATATTAATTCCATAGACGACCTGATGCTTGATCCAGATTCTGAGGTGTTCGTTAACACTAATAGCCCTCTCGACCATATGCCATTATCTCCGATGCACTCCCCACCATTCGCTCAACACAAGAGTTCAGAAAAACGTCCACCCGTTCGAAAGCGAAACAGAACTAATTTTGAAGCAAACCCCAAAAGCACTGCTTCTGACCCTGACAACCTCACAGAAAGTGTTAACAAGATTGTCCGTGCTCTTGAGTCTGTCGACACTAAAGAGTATAACTGTTGGGGCATTATAAAGGAGATTCCAAACTTAGATGACGAATCACGCTTCAAGGTCCTTGATTTGCTTAATACTAGAGCAAAGAAAGCAGAGTTTTGGAATATGGCACCGGAAGAGCGTTTGAGATGGATTACATATAAATTAAAATGATATATTCTAGCTCCATGTGAGATAATAAGTGGTTGATGTTTTTAACTTTGATTTTTTGATATAGCATTTGTTATTTTCTCTTAAGGATATATGCATATGGAATTTGAACCTTGTTTGGGATATTAACCAATCGAATGGTTTTTTATTTATTTATTATGTCGATGATGTTTTTATATTAATATTATTGTTATTTGATAAGCCTTTCATACCATTGATGATGATGTATTTTTTTTTTTTTATTTCGCTCTTTCTTTTTTAGGTACTTGTATTCACATAATGTCTGATACCATGATGCATGGAGACAATGACACCATCATGGAAGAGAATGACGAAAATGACTATGAAGAGACTTTACATGAAGCTAATAGACTCTTGTGCTTGGCACTTCAAGCAATTCTTTGCTTGTTGAACGAGCATATAACTAGTTCCTCTCTTCATGGGGCAAACCGCGCATTGGCAAGGCGACCGGTAACAAGTCATGGGCATGATTATATAAATAAAATTTTAAGAGAAGACCCAGAAAACTTTCGAGAAATTTATAGGATGTATCCTCAAGTGTTTCTAAAACTATCTTACATCATACGAGAAAAAAAATTACTACAAGATACAAGGTACATCTGTATCGAGGAAATGCTTGCAATGTTCTTGCTCATCGTTGGTCAAAACAGTCGTTATTGTGTGATTCGTAAAATATATGACCGGTCTCATTTCACAACAAGCCGAAATTTCAACAAGGTTCTAAAAATATTAAAAAGGCTTGCCGTTGATATGATGGTCAAGCCAGGATCTACAGTCTCAGAAAAAATAAGAGAGAGCACAAGGTTTTATCCTTATTTCAAGGTAAGAGTTATTTATTTATTTTTTAATTAGATTTGGTGTTAGTATTATTGTTAGATAGTGATTTTATCATTGTTATTTTTATCACTATCTACTAAACTTTTGGTTATTCAGGATGCTATTGGAGCTATCGATGGAACTCATATTCCGGCAATGGTGACTGAAAAAAATGTCCCAAGTCATAGAAATCGCCACGGGATTATTTCACAAAATGTTTTGGCTGCTTGCAACTTTGATCTAGAATTCATTTATGTACTCAGTGGTTGGGAAGGTTCAGCACATGACTCCAAAATACTCAGTGATGCTTTAACTAGGAAAAATGGTCTCAAAGTACCTCAAGGTAAGATATAAAAATAAAAAATAAAAAATCATTCACATATGCACAAATTTTTAGTGACAGAACATATTACAAATTAGTTTATTTTCTTTCATACGTATATACATTTTTCCTAATATGACTTATGAGTTAACAATTAATTATTTTATATCCAGGTAAATGGTTTCTCGTAGATTGTGGATTTCCAAATCGACGTCAATTTTTGGCTCATTTTCGAGGTACTAGATATCACCTTCAAGATTTTTCTGGTCAAGGGCGTCATCCTGAAAATGCAAAGGAATTGTTTAACCTTCGTCAC